TAATTCCTATAGTTAAGTGGAAAATTCTCAGGCGATGTAAAGCATATAATCTTCATCCAAATTTTGTATATTATGTCTCACCGAAAAATATGAAATCCTAAATTATAAATTTACTAATCTACTAAATAAAAGAGCGAGATTGCTTCTTAGTGCAGACATAGAAACAGGGTTCTCCTTTCTCAATTTGACACTGGCGTCTAGAAAAGATGTTTTTTCCATATTATTATTATTATTATTATTATTATTATTATTATTATTATTGTTATTATTATTATTATTATTATTATTATTATTATTATTATTATTATTGCAAATATTTGTATTATAATTATTTGACGTCAGAACTCATTCCATTGTTTTTTTTGAATTTTGTTACGGTTTTTTAATTGTATTTTTAAACGGGTTTTTCTTGATTTAAAAATATGGCTGATATATATATATATATATATATATATATATATATATATATATATATATATATATATATATATATATATATATATATATATATATATATATATATATATATATATATATATATATATTATATTTATATATATATATATATATATATATATATATATATATATATATATATATATATATATATATATATATATATATATATATATATATATATATATATGTATATATATAACTATATTTAGATGAATAAAAACAACTGATTAGCGGGACTTAAAGTTTCATGCCCGAAGGCAATCATCAGCCGTTAATACAAACAAAAAACGTAAACAAACCGTTACAAAAACGTAAAAGTTACTGTAGAATGACATCTGACGTTATAAACAAATCTACGTAAAAAACAAATCAAAAAACAAAACAAAAAAAGCCGTTATAGTTTATTAGTCCCCTGTGTCAAACAAAGATAATTATCTTTATTTGACACAGTCCCCTGTGTCAAATAAATAAGGGTCTGCGTCTGCTCGTATTCTCTCGGAAGTTCGGTATGAAACGGTAAAAAATGTGAGTATTCGTTTCGTTCCGTTTTTACGAAACAAAAAATATCATTTTGTTTTGTATCGCATTTATACGAAACACGTAAATCTTGTTTCGTTTTGGTATCATGTTGTTACGAAACGTGAAGTTATTTTTTCGATTTGTACCGTTATTTACGAAATACAATAAAATTGTTTCGTTTCTTATCGGTTTTTACGGAATATTTCATAACTCCCCGCCCAAACAGATATTTCACGATTCCCATGCCCTCGAGCAATACATAAACTTTTACTTACTAACTCAATGTTTCGTAAATCAAAGTTTAACTAAAAAAATGTATTAACAAAGCAATGCAATAGCATCATTTTCATAAGGCTTAGCGCATCTAACGAAGTTAAAAAAAGATATTGTCTTCTGTAGGTAGGTTTTAGTAAAACTGATGAACTTAAAGTTAAAATTTTATTACAGTAAAACCGTTTTACTGTAATAATCTTTTAACTTTAAGTTCATCAGACATAAATTATGTATTTGTTTATAAACTCGCATGAAGAGTTTGAAATCATTGTTTGAATTAAATACTTCAAATTATATTATATAACATTTTAAATGCAATATTGTTGTGTTAACTTGAAATATTTTGCAAAACTAATTAATTTATTGTTTGAAAACCATAGTAATTCTCAATCATATAATCATGCCTATAAAAGCTACAATTTTATGGAATTATTTCAATAAAGTTACTGTGTCAGGTGTTAAGTGTGGGGAATGTAAAAAGTGTCAAATCCAAATCAAGTTAACTGACGGATCCACTAGTGGTATCAGGTACCATCTGAAAATAAAGCATCCCACTGACTACGCTACGATGTTAAGAGCCCAAATTGAACTTGAGCGCCAAAGAGAAGAAGATATTAAAGAAATTACATAAGCTGCCTTCCAACTGAATGACGCATACAGTAAGTTTCTAATTATTTTTCATAAAAAAATGTTTTTCCTTGTATAAAGATAGTTTTCATGTTTAACTTTAATTTTTATTTCGTTTTTTTAGATCAACGATCACAAAAAGGCTTATCTAAATGTGTTAATGGTGGAACTATTGGGAAATATTCTTCCCAATCAGACAGGCAATTGGAGACAGACATGGTAATCATGTCATACATTGCCAGGTCAAGTAGTCCATTCACTCTAGTAGATGAACCATGCTTCAAAGAAATGGTGGAACATTTAAATCCAAAAGTAATTGTGAAACATACCTCGACTTTTTCAAGGTACAAGCTGCCATTGCTTTATGAAAGCGTTATGGATACTGTGCAAAACCTAATTGGAAAAAAAGTTTCCACTTGTCAACAGGTGGCTATCACCACTGATGGTTGGACCTCTAGGTCACAGGATCCATACATGACTCTTACGCTTCACTATATCAATAGTCAGTTTGAACTGAAAAAATATGTTATCAACTTTGACAATTTCGTGGGAAGACACACTGGTTACCACATTAGCAAAGTAATTTTTCTTATGTTGAAATAATTTGTTCTCGTAAATATAAATTTGTAAGTACAAAAATAATTTAAAAAAGTAAAACTTATCCTTCCGCTAGAATAGCGTTCCTTCTAGGATTTTGTCAATTATTGAAAGAATTT